TCCGCAGCAATGTGGTGCAGTTCGACGGTGCTCAAAAGCCACTCTTTCAAGCTGTACACTGCCGCCGCCGTAGGCGGCTGGTGTGTTGCTAAATCGGCTAGGAGATTGCTCGGCTGGACTCTTCGGGGGCTCGCAAGGGCGGACTCCGTGAGTTCCGCCTTCGGGAAGATTGCCTGCATGACCTGCATATGCGGCGAGTTACTGAAGACCGGGAAACGGAACAGGTGCAGCTGCTGGAATGCCAAGCGCAGTTCCAGATTGTCACCGACGAGCGGCAGGAAGGCTCGACACTGCGCCGTATCTACCTCGGAGGGCAGGCTCTCCAGTCTTTCGAGCAGGTGCCCGTATCCATGGCAGGCCGTACCAAACATTGCCGCAGACGCGCCTCCCAGCAGCCAAACGAACCCGCCCCCTGCTGCACGCAAGTCCATACTCAGCTGATCTCTGAATTGTGCCGACGGACAGAAAGTGCACAACCTGTCTTCGCGAGCATGCACCACAAAGTGAGCGGCAGCCGTATGAGTTGGGCAAATATAAAGTCAGGCATACCCAGGGCACCCAGCCGAACCACGTGGCGGAGAGAACCCTCTTGGGCCACAGCAGAATTGCCGGGCCCGGGCTGGGGTGGGATGCGTCCCCACGCACGATGTGCCAAGAGCGCAAGTATTGCTGTCGTATAGCTGCCAGCAGAAAACCCATGTATAGTGAGGGGACTAGGTCGCAGAGCCGCCAGAAATATAAGCATGGCGCTGAGGCATCCACTATGTGGGGACTGCATGTGTGAGCTGCGGGGCAGACGCACAAACGGCCTAAGCATCATAGAGACTTCCGGCGGGTTAAGGGGTGAGTCCAGCATGGCATACGCCGCTCGAATCACACACGCCGGGGACAGCAGGAGGCTGGTGTGTTGGCCCGCGTACGCAAGCCTGTCGGGCTCCTCGAAAAACAGCTGCCCCTTGTCACCCTCAACGGTGGTTTCCGTTTGGCATCCCGTGGGTCCGTAGCACTGCTGTGAGCACACTATCTGCCAATCCTCCGTGCGTCCCGGGACATGGAATGCCGTCGCACCCGAGCACATGACACGTACGGGGCAATTCTCGACTGGCAGAGACTGGTCACGCTCATCGGTCGTGCTTTCCCTGTGTGCTCGTTCAAAGCGGCCCACCTGTCCGAAATACGCACCGAGTAGTTCAACTTTACCTAACCCAAGACACGCTACGAGCTACAGAGCAAAGCTAAGCAGAGAGACCTTTTGACTTTGCCGGAAACGCGAGAAGTAAGTTGAAGCTGCAAGCCAAAGCTAAGCAAAGTAAAGCTACAACGAAGCTTCGAGAGTTTAGACCCCCCTCGCCCATAGTAAAGCAACAAAAGTACGAAAAGTATACAAAGCTATGGTAACAGCTAAGATACAACATCACAAAGGGTAGGGCGGGTGGGTCAAAATTTTAAAGCATGGAGTGAAGCTTTAAGCTATGCTGAAGCACGCGTGTCTTGGGCCGAAATGTTGTGTTTGGAACATGGTAAAGTAAAACACCCATGAGTAAACACATGAAACGTTCAACTTTACCTAACCCAAGACACGCTACGAGCTACAGAGCAAAGCTAAGCAGAGAGACCTTTTGACTTTGCCGGAAACGCGAGAAGTAAGTTGAAGCTGCAAGCCAAAGCTAAGCAAAGTAAAGCTACAACGAAGCTTCGAGAGTTTAGACCCACAGTTTAACCGGCAAAGTCAAAGTCTCGCCCTATGGTTCCCCAACGTTCAAAGTGAGGGTTTGACGCGCTCGCTCAGTGAAACGCTGCACCCCGGGCAACAATCCTGCGGGCGTAAAGCAGCACCATGCCACCCCGGGCAATCATCCTGCGGGTGGGGCATATGCTGCACCCCGGGCAAACATCCAGCGGGCGTAAAGCAGCAGCATAAAGGCCCCGGGCAAAGATCCTGCGGGCACTGTCATATGTCATCATCTGACACATGTCGTTCCTGTGTCACCGCTGGTAAAGAAAAATGGGAAGGCCAGACCATGACCTCTTTGCGAAAGAACCAGATGAATTTGAGAGAGCAATCCACCCGGTCTTCTTTGCGCCATTTGTCAGGTAAAGAATCAGTTTGATTCCACCTGCTCAACAGATCTGCATCATCATTTTTCTCACCGGCGATGTGAGAAATATCCAGCTCGATACCCGAAGCTGCGGATATGAGGGAAAGTTTCTGGGCAAACGCTCCCAGTGGCCACTTGGCGGTGTAAAGTTTCGCACCCAATGCCTCTGTCGAGGCGTTGTCAGAAAAGGAGGGGAGGCGAACTGCCACGCGACCCGAAGGAAATACTGACCTGTAAGCATGTACCAAAGCAATCTGCGCCAAAGTCTCATAACAGGCAATATCTTTGTGCGCGGGTCGGCGAAGTTCCAAACCCAAAACTGACAGATCTGAAAGTTGCCAAGCGTGTGAAAACCAGATGTATGCACCAGACGGGAAAGCAATAAAACCGCCAATCCCAATAAGCTCGCCATCAGCTCTTGCATCCGCAAAGGCCTCAACCTGGAGTCGCAAAGGAACAGAAAGAGCAGTGTAAGGCTGAGGTCTTTGACACCATTCTTTCCAGAATGAAAGAAAGGTCCGCGATGCTGGTGACAAAGAACACCGATCAGATTTGGGATTGGTCACCCGCATCCAGATCCGATTGGAGGTACGCACCTTGCAAAGGTCTTGCTTTGTTTTCAGTTCCGTATGTCGTGCTTCCAGTAGCTTACCTCCAAGTGGAACCTGAGTACCCGGAGGTACGGATGTAAAGCGGAGATCATCATCTAGGTAGTTAGCCAAAGAAGGCCAGAGCCCCTGTGATATGCTATACTGGGAAGCCAAATGCCGATGCAGATCTGAGAAAAGAGACGCAAGCCAAGGTTTGCACGATCTGTAAAGCTGACAGAACCACTGTAGGAGTCCCACCAACTTGTGGAGCAAGGCACTCGTAACCCTCCTGGACCGTGTAGCTTCCTTAATCAAATTGAAAAGCTTATCAACTTTCTCTTGCGGAATATGAAAAGAGCCGCTGGTAAAGTTGAATGTCCAGCCAATCCAGGTAATGCAACTCCCCAATTGCAACTTGGCCCAGCTCAAAGGCACTCCGAATATAGATGTAAAGCAAAGTAAGAGTGACGCGGAATAAAGGATGCACTCACGGTCCTGGATGAAAAGAAAATCGTCGACGTAACCCATGAAAGCATGGCGCACAAAGATCCAGAGATGCATGAGGCGTAAAAGCATACCCGCCAGCCGTTGAAACCACAAAGCAGAAAAGTTTGCGCCGAATGGACAAACTCGGTAAAAGAAAAGTTTGTCATCTTCACCCTCTTCTCCCGGTAAAGTGACACCAAGCAGTCCCTGGTCCGCCACTTTGACCCGAACCGTTTTATGCGCCGCCTTGACGTCGAGATGGAAGCCTTCACACAGGCCTGCATGAAGGCGTAAAGGAAAGCAATCTCGAACATCTTGTGGACCTGGCAAAGTTTTGCGCTCAGGAATAGAGCATGCATCGTTGGTGCCACACACAGTGGAGTCTACCACCAGCCTGGGAGCTCCCGGAGGAGAAAGTACAAGGGACATTTTCCCTACTGCAACGCGCTCTCCCCAACGCTCCTGTGCCGCCTGCAAAGAGGGCATTTCAAAAAGCCATCCCTTCTGAACCTCAGCTTGCACCAGTTCGCGCAAAGTGTCCGGATCATTGTTAGCACTTTGCCAGTTGTCCTTGGCGATGGAAAGCTGGTGATCAAGCTCCGGCGCCGAAGGATGTGGTATGAACACCTTGGAAAGAGGGATGTCGCCATCATATCCCGTGGGAACACCATCAAGCAAGCACTGGCAAAGCGTATCATCTTTGTCCTTGACAAATTGCGAAAAGAACTTCAAGGCATGCAGGGCATAAGGTTGGTGTTCTGGGATCGTCCAGTCGACGACATGTGGCGATCCTTGCTCTGAGACCCAGGTCTGGAAAAGCTGCCTGAGATGAAGAATCTCACCTTCTTGGAAGAGATGCTCCGAACTGTGCTGTAAAAGCATGGGCCTGGAGTCGTTGTGGGATCCTGTTATCAAAGATCCACTGCCGAAGTTTGTACCTGAGGTCACAAAGTACATCCTGCACACCAGGAGGAGGTGCACTCCAATCAGGCACCGAGTAAATTCCAGCACCGTCCTGGTTAGCAAAGGGCGGCTCGAATCTGTCTTTGACATGCCTCAGGAAAGGAATTTGGCTCATCTGCAAATCCCTGGGTTCCGGGCTTCTGTGAGTAAAGAAATGCAAAGAACCCTTGGCCACCGCGAGCACAAAACCGGTACTCAATGACGAGAAGTCGAATGCACAATGAGCCTGTGTTGAAGAAGTCGTAGAGGATGTAGTGGCCAAGTGCTGTAAAGATGAAAATGAAGCAGCCAGGAGCCCAAAGCCTTCAAAGTTGCAACCGAATTGTTGCGAGTCCCAGAAAATAGCATCTGCACTCATCTGCTGCAAAAGAAAGATCACCGAAGAGTTGCTCCAGACTGCTGACGTAGAATGTTGAGAGAGCAGGACGTGAGAACCCGCCGAAAAGCATGCATGTGCTATCTGAATAATGCGCTCGAAAAGAATCGAAGAAAAATCGCTGGCCAGAAGTAGGACATGTAAAAGAGCAACCTGCCCAGAGTGACAAACCCTGAGCAAAGCGAAGAAGAACTCATCCTGCAAAAGGTCACGTTCAGGAAAAACCTCGGGAGAGACTGAGAAAGTATCACAGCCAGCCCCCAGAAACGCTGCCGAAAGAGGGCGACGAGCCCCCCCGTTGATGTCCAGGAAAAAGCCTGGGCCGGGTTCCGAGAGCGAGCAAGCAAAGTTCTGAGGAGCACTCTGTACCACGGGCTCCGGAGGAGTATCACGTGGCTGTGGAAAAGGAGCATCTCCTGTAGCATCTGCAGGCAAAGCAAATGGAACCAGGCCTTCCTTGCCTGCGTATTCGAGGCCCAGTCCCCTTCACGAGCCTGCCTTTTGTGCATGCTGAAAAGCAGGATGCTTTTGCAAGCAAATCTTGCCATTCTCCAAGATCACAGGGCAAAGGTGCTCAAACTTGCAATTGGTGGAGGTGCAGCCTTTGTGGGTACTGTATGCCATGCAAAGTACCTTGGTCTCTCCATTGATTTTCGCCTTGTTTGCCCACTCAAAGGCATGTGTGCCTTTGGTAAAAGTGGACTTTCCCTTTCCCGGGATAGCACCTCCCTTGCCTCCGGTGGACTTACCCCCCTTGTGGGGGAGGCCCTTCCAGGATTCCTTGCCGCCCTTGCCATCACCTTTCTTGCCTTTGAAAGGAGCGAGTCGGGGAGCAAGCAAAGCAACCAGCTCGGCACGAACGTCAGTGAACTCATGTAAAGCATCATCCACCGACCAGCCTTCCTGCCGAAGCTGACCGACGACTTCCCAACATCGACGATCTGCTGCTTCGCACTCCTGTGCGTTTGGCGGACGCAAAGTTGGGTCTGTTCTTGCCTGAACATGTTTCAAAAACTTACGCTCATAGGAACGTAAAAAGTAGCGAGATGAGCAATGTCCGCAAGCGCGAGTGCGTTGGAATGTATGGAAAGTAAATTGCTTATCCCATATAATCCCATATTCTCCGCAACGTTGCGCGAGGGCACGTCGTCGTAAAGAACGTCGGTAAAGTTCTCAAATCTTGCCAACTTTCTGGGCCGAGACGAGTTGTAATCCTCTTCTTGTTGTTTGGAAAGTCTGTGTTTCCAGGAAATGAACTTCCAGTCCGACGTGCCTTTGAGCCTGTAAGCGAGGGAAGGCAAACGCGCACTCGGAAAGTTGGTATCATCGAGAACTTCGGAGGGATAGGCTTTCTCAAAATCCCGCTTCAACTGTAAAGTTGTTTCAGAAGAGAGCTTGGGAGGAAAGGTCTCCGCCCACGAGGAATGCAAAGTACTCGCAGAGGAATCTGAGGCCACTGACGGTAAAGTGCATATCTTGTGAGCCTGCACCCACAGCATCCTGAGAACAGGGAGCTCATCTGCATCAGGTGACCAGCCTTTGGATGCCAGGAAAGCATCGAGACCTTCCAGGTTCACGGTGCCAAGGCCAAAAGAAAGCAAAGTCAAATCACCGAGAGAGGCTGCAGATGCCGGAATCGAGAGTTGCAAAGCTGTGGCCAACTGCTGCATCGTAGATCTCGAGGATAAGGAATCCATGACCTGACAATCACACGGGTGGCAGAAGTTATGCATGACCATGTCGCAAAGGTGCATCAGAGCAAGCCGAATCTTTTCTCGAGAAGCAAAGTAGGTCGATGACGCGTGCTGCTGGGTCCCAAACGCAAGGAAAAGAGGCCGGAGGCCCGTGCAAGGCTGAGCAAAGCGTACATAAAAGAAGCATAACGCTACAGTAAAGTAGCAGCTGTGGGAACCCAGCATTGACGCAATTAAGGACTTTACAGCCAGAAAAAGCACCATGGAGGACGAGTCTGGCGGTAAAGTATGATGCTACTGCCCATACGCATTGCAAAAAGTATTGCGCCCCTGACGTCGACGGTATTCTCCATAACAGAGTCTGCAACGATGGACGTGAGGATGAGTAGGGTCAAGCAAAGTAGCACCGCACGTTCCTGCTCCTGAGCAGTTTGTGCAGCCTTCGCGGCACCAAAATACCGTTGCCCGTTGAATCAACTGTGTCTCACCCCACGCAGTTCGAAACACACGCTGGTTGTGCGGTAAAGGTCGGGTTCCCTCACCGTCCGTGGGTTCTGAGCTTTGCGGTAAAGAACTACCGTCCTGTGCTGGGGTAGTCCCCGAAGTAGCCGACGATCGTAAAGGAGGGGACGAGTCGGTAGAGGTCGTGGAAGGTAAAGGATCCGACTGGGTAGCCGAGGTGGAGCCAGCTGCACCATCTGGAGGCGGGTGCAAAGTATCTGAACTCCCCTGGGATGCCCGCAAAGAAAGCCAAAACTCCAACCACTGCTGTCTATCGTACACCATCCAATCTTCAAAGAATGCCGTAGCCTGCCACAACTCTGCCTCCGTAAGCTGCGAAAAGTTCCACGGCACATAGTTGAAGTCCTCCGCCTCCTCCGTGGTAGGTGTAGGCAAAGAAGAGGGCGGCTCATCAGTGGAAAGCACCTCAGCTGCCGGCGGTGTCGCGGGTGGATCCGCATCCACGGTGCATGGCAAAGTTTCGCCCGGACCTTCGGAAGTCGTCTGCAAAGTAGTAGCATCCGGGCGTGGGTCCCAGCGCTCAAGGTGCTGTGTAATTTCACTGGGCATCCAGGGCTCCGAGGAGGCCCAAGGCTGGAAAAGTAGATGAGGGAACCTCTGCCGCTGTATGCAAAGTAGAGGCATCCTCTGTCGTAGCCCCATCAAGTTCACCCGAGGGTGCTGGCTCCGCCGTGGTAGTACAAGGCAAAGTAGAACCGAGCTCCTGGGTCGGAGCATCCACCCGATCTTGCAAAGCTGAACGCCAGAAGCTGAACCACTGCTCACGGGAATAACCTTCCCGCCCTGCAAAATGCTCCGAGGCATCCCAGAGATCCCAAGCCGAGAGCTCCGAAAAGTTCTCCGGGAAGTAGTCACTCTGTGCCATTACGCAAAGTAAAGCGGAAGCTTGCGAAGGGAACGCGCGCAAAGTCTCGGACAAAGCTCTGCGCGGCAACATGAAGCTTCACGTGAGAGAATATGCTATTGAATGCAAAGCTGAATCTCAAAGTTGGCACGTGACCACACTGATGAGCACGCAAAGCTGACGTAGTGTGACGCGAATTCGGCTCAATTTGACCGAATATATCCCGAAAAAGCTAGATTTGATACCCGTTATGACGCAGAAGACGACGCATCGCACGCGCTCAAGACGCAATTAGCGCACAAATGGCGCACATTAGGACGCAATTGTGCGCACATTAGGACGCAAAAGCGACGCAACTGATACCATTGGCGCACATTAGGGCGCAAAGCTGACGCAAAGCTGACGCAAGTGACGCATTTAGCGCACATTAGGCGCACATTAGGACGCAAGCAAGACGCAAAGCCGAATTTGACGCACATTAGGACGCTAATGTTGACGCAAAGCAAGATGTAGCAACTTTATAGCGGCGCGCATCTGCCACCGAATGGACGCGGGAATCACGCAAAGCACTGCAGTGCTAAACATGTACTGTACCAGCACCCTTGCACAAAAGCTGATTTGTCACACAAGTTGTGCAAGAGGGCCTTGTACGCAAAGTAGTCGGGAATCCCCCGAAACGCCGATACGCTAAAGCTGGAAGCGAGCCGAGGCTGTGACGTGCGAGGCTGACAGAAACGGCAAAGAAGAATGCACATGCACTGCACTCACATGCAATTCCTGCCTGCACCTGACACAGGTTTTCTCCAACACTCAAAGCTCCAAGCATGCCTTATGTCTGCAAAGCTTCTTGCCTGTGGGTGCAAAGTGCACCACTTGGAAGACACTGACTATACAGCCACAGGCGGGTTTCAGGTGCACACCTTGGAAAGTAGTGCAACGATCGAGCTCGGAGCAAACCACTGCCTTGTGAATAGTCTTGGCAGTGATGATGAAAAGGAGCTCATCGGGGGATCCTGGCTCACCTGACGAGTGCAAAGGAAGTGTGGCTGTCTTCGCTGGGGCCACAACTTCACCAGGGTCCGAGGCCGAAGGCAAAGTAGTACCTGCCAGATCTGCATCCAAATCGATGGTAGAGCAAAGTTGAGCAGTATGCTCGAGCACTGGCGGTCCCCCTGGGATGGCAAAGCAGGACTCCGCAAAGGAAGCAGATCGTGCTTCAAGCTCCGGTTCGTGTAAAGGAACTTGTCCACCCCTGTGTTGAGGACACATTGGCCGCCATCCTTGACGAATCGCACGCAAAAGTTCATGTTGTAAAGTTAACGCACCGAAAATATCGTCCCTGCTGTAGAGGCGTGTGCTGCTATGCCTGTGGTGGCCTTGCACAGCGCGCCGGTCTTCGCTGATGCAAAGTTGGTTTGCCCATGATAACAGCGTGGTTTTACAGCTATGCAAAGTAAAATTTTGCACCTGAGCATCCGAAAGCTTGTTCCACTGCGATAAAGGGTGACGTAAAGTAGCAAGGCCCTCCCCATATGTCATGGGAACGAACAGCTCGTCATCGCTCGCATGGAAAAGTAAAGCATCTGGTTCCACAGGGCCCGCCACGTTACCAATACGACACCATTCATTTTTCAGTAAAGCAAGCCATAGCGGGAACCATGGGCCGATCAGGCCTACTCCCACTACCCCAAAAGGAGCACCACGCACCGAGGTCTTGTCCGGAAAGAAATTCCTCGGCCCACCTCTTGTTCATAGAGCAAAGATCCCCACTTCAAGTGCATAGCATCACTGAACCGCAGAGAACCCCAGATCATCACAAGGAGTGCCCCGATGTTCAATTGCAGATCAGGAAAAGCCTTTGAAAGCAAGCAAAACTCCAGATAAGCAACAAAATCCAGTGGCAAAGGCACTGACTCCCGACGATCTGCCTCATTACGTTGGTGAGCCACTGAGTGAAAAAGCCCTGTGTAAAGATCCGGAAATGAAATGGTGGCCACCTTGACCATCCACCTCAGAGCCTTCAACGTATTGAGGGGAAAGCATGAAGTAGGAACTGCTTCCTCATCTTCAGGGGACCTGTAAAGCTGTATCAGCACATCATAGGCTTGCACCTGGGAGATCCGAGCTGCATCAAAACCCAGATCCTGAAGTAAAGCGAAATATTGCAAGCAGCTCTGCACATACCTGACCAATGTAGTGTCCGCCACAGAGGCAACCAGCTGAGAAAGCAAAGCTTCTGAGGATGCCGACTCCAGAATCTCCTGCAAGGCAGAGCTCAAAGGTGCAAGGAGCAAAACCAGCTGGCGCCACAAAAGAAGACCCTTGGAGTGGAGCTTTGCATGCAAATCGTTCTGCAAAGTAACCCGTGCTGTCGAGTTGGCTGGCCGAGCTGGCAAAGCAAACTTGCCAGGCAGTACTTTAGGTGGTTCTGGAGGAAATGCATATCCAGCTGAGGAAGCAAAAGCATCTGCAGCCTGAAGCAGATTGTCCACCAAAGGATCACACCGAGCTGAGGCTGGCACCACGTGCCTGGAAAGCAGGAGGCAGTCGAGGGAGGCCTGGATTCTGAGGGGAAGACCGCATAATCTCGAGCAGAGCGAAAAGTAGGTCTGGCTCTTGCATCCTGTGAAGACCGTAAAGTAGAAGCAGAGCGCTGAGAGAAAACAGGTCGAGCTTTGGGCACATCACCCCGTGAAGGCGCCGTAGCCGCCGGAGCCGACCTGTCCACGAGTGAAAAGCAAGTTTTTGCTGTAGAAAAACTCAAAACCCAAATTCAAGCGAATATAAGTTGCACTCACTCCGTAAGTATAAAAGTCAATCAACTCATATCGTATCGCATCACTCGGACCCTTCTTTTCTTTCAGGGGGCGCACCGGGTTGCCCGGCCTTAGGCCGCGGGCTAGGCGCACTGCCAACATGCCGTTCGCATGTTGGGCCAACGTAGAGCACAGCCTACGGAGTGTTGCACAACTGGAATCGCAAGATCGGCCCCAAGCGATCTGAAGTCTCGACGGGTGTGGCGGGAGGGTAGTCGAGACCCATCTCCCACTCTTGAGCAGCAATGTAACACGACGTGGACATTTCACATGCTCTTCAAAGAAATTTCTTCTCTCAAGAAATCACTGCTCGAAAATACATTGCTTAAAGTGGGAGAGGCAGCACACGGGTTAGGGCATTAAGGTTTTTGAGTTTTCTTCGCTCGCCGCCACGGCGGCTCGTCACGAACGCAAAAAGGTACTAGCTGTCGTCGCAGGCTAGACAGCAAAGGTACTTTTTGCTGTAGAAAAACTCAAAACCCAAATTCAAGCGAATATAAGTTGCACTCACTCCGTAAGTATAAAAGTCAATCAACTCATATCGTATCGCATCACTCGGACCCTTCTTTTCTTTCAGGGGGCGCACCGGGTTGCCCGGCCTCCCCAGAAAGTAGCAACACGGTACGTTCCCACTCAAGACCAGAGATTACAAGTCGACCAGCGGGATGCCCGAGATGGGGCATGAGCACTTAACTCGTAATGCACCCGAATCAACAAGTGCTCTGAACTCACCGCGTGACGGGTCGTCTGAAGGATTGGATGCGGAAGGGACCCTTGTCCAGTATGTCCACGATGGACCATGTTTCTCACAGCATTCCCATGTGAGAAGCAGCTCTCGAAAGTGATCACTGTTAGACGTTCCTCGCACAAAGCTGAGAAGGACAGCGTCGTTGTCAACGAAGAAAAGGCAATACTGTCCAGACATGTACTGGTGGAAAGCCTTGCGTGCCAGGGCGACAGCGTACGCCTCAACGGGTCCGATAATATGCTTCAGATGCTGCCTCCATCGATCTGCCAAGGCACAAGGAACTTCACAAGAAAAGAATCGGGGCCGCGCATCAGAAGGAGAGTAAAGAATACCTCCAACGGTGTTGCCAGACTGTTCACTTGCTCCGTCCGTGAAGATCAAAACAGGCTTAGGGGCAACCACACAAGGGACTACCCTAGGGGAACCGAAAGAGAGGCGATCAATGAGAAACTCGAAAGCCTCGATCTCACGGGGACCCAGAACAAACCGGGAGGCGTGGCGTGTGGAAGCGGCTCTCAGCTCCGCCAATGCGAGCTTTCCGGTTCTCCCCATGACTTGCGCATCGGAGAACTGGACACGTCCTGCAACCCTGGCAAAAGTACGCATCTTGATGCAACCTTCACTGATGCATTCACGGATGGCATCACACACCTCACTGGATCGGCCTTCCTTGTTCCTAATCCGAATGACACCTTCCCTGGCTCCTTTCAAGTCAATCTCGACCCCAAGCATGGAGGCGACGTCTGCAAATGGGTTCAGTTTGTCAAGGGATGCGGAAAAACCAAGCACTGAGGACAACACAAGCAAGGTGTCCATGGTGGAACCTGACAGACAGCACGGGCTCATCACTGGATAATCGTCAACGAAGTTGGCCCAGAACAGGAAGACTTCCAAACCTATCCGCCACAGCAACCTAGACAACCTGTTGAAGTGGAGCACGGACGATGTGCTTCCAAAAGGCAGAGCCTTACCCTCAAACAATCCCAAGTCGCCATTATCCGGATTGAGAAGGGCAACGACGGAGAAGGCACGATGGCTCGGGTTCAACGCAAATTGGCGATAAGCATTCTTCAAATCAAAGGTGCACAGCTCAGGACACCACGACGAACCCGCCCAAGCAGGGTGCACTCGACCAACCAACGGTGGTCCGCTGGCCATGTCCAGAAAGAATTGATGCTCCGTCGTGTGAGCTCGGATCCAAAAGCGACATATTGCAATGATCTCGTCAAGTGCCCTTAGATCTAGCTTATCCCCATAAGAAAAAGAACCATTAACTAAGTTCTCGGAGTAGTCGTCAATCGGTCTCAACTTGCGCTTGCCTCCAGAAGATTGAATCACGGCGAACCGGCGCACAGGGGCCCATGCGTCGCCGTACCTTCTCGTCAGCTCTTCTTCGGTAAGTGGTCCCTCCAAGAACCCTTCGGCAACCTCAGTCAAAGTCTTATCCCACAGTTCCGAGGAATGCTCATTCAAACCCTCGGACAAAACCTTACCCAAAAGCGCCGGACGAATGTACTTACAGGCCTTAGTAAACTCGTCAGCCGTCCTCTCCTGGGGACGAGGCTCCTTTCTAAAGACACCAGTGGGCTTCTGCCAGCCAACCAAACCAAAACCCTTACAAGTATCCTCAAACCATCCATCGTCGGGCCACTTCAAGTCATCAGCAATGCGTTTGAGCAAGAGAAGCCTCTTTGATCCTAACACAGACCTCACACCAGGTTCGAGGTCCTCCTTAAGTCGGGACTCTGGTTCCTCCAATTCCCTGGCCCATTCTAACCACTTGTTGAGAGTGGCCACACGTTGTCTACCAACCCACTCAGGGCCCTTCACCAAGGCCTCATGAAGCTTTCGTTTCACTTCGTCGGGGATGACAGCAAACGTCTCGAAGGGATGCCGTAATCCTTTGGCCTCCTCCAGAAACTCATCCGGTGTTGCATACACACCAACACTAAGTTCGAAGCCACCCGACTCCCCCGTCTCCTCAGTGGCGAGAAGTTTGGAGCCTGCGGGGATGTCACCGATGGCGTGCTGCAAGCAATTTTTATGATCCACAGGCGGAATCTGTGGCACACGACATCTGCAAACGCGACCAAATTCTCTGATGAGGCTCGCACCAAGTTTACCCCGACGCTGCTGTGTGACAGGCGGAGGGCTGGACTGCAGCGGAGACAAAAGGGGGTCAACGCCACAGTGTTTAGCCACGGCGTGGGCAACCTGCTGACAGAAAAGCCTGGGATGAGTATCAACACCGCCAGTCACAGGCGTGTGACTATGATTACCATGGCACACTTGTTGTAAACACTTGAGTGCACTACAAGACGTTAGCAGTTGCCTCCGCAAGCGATGCGGAGAATCGAAGGCACACAAATCGTACACCACGGTAGTGGTGTTGGTGAGCTGGCGCACAGCAGGCATATGCCACAGGAGGCTGGACTGCGGATGCTCAATGGACCAAGCGATGCCCATTTGTTGAACTCGTTTTAAGAAGGTGATGACATGTTCCAACAAGGAGTCGGCCAATGCGAGCCTTTGAACCTGAGAGGCGTCGGCGCCTCCTACAGGAACTACAGATCCATGGGACAGTCGTCGGAGGCCCTGCTTGGGTCCATAGGTGGCATACGGCAGATCAATGTGCACGTACCGAACATGATAGTTGTCAAGCACATGCGAAAGATACTGCCACGAGCTCGGCAAGGCAAGATCCAGTGAGCACAACTTGGCCAACGGAAGCCGGTGACTTCCCCTATCTATGGGCATGACCTCAAAGCCAATCTGGTGAAAGGCTCGGGACAAAGAGCCTGCACGGGCAAACAGCTCGAGCACAATACCAGGCTGGTCAACCGGCGTGGCCTGAACCTGACCAGTAGACACTACGGAATCTTCTACGGGGGCTAAACCCGACTTTGAGGAAGCTAGAGGCGGGGAAGTCACTGGTTGTGCGAGGCCGAGTGGTTTTGGAAACTCATCAGTAGCACACCCCCCGGTAACGACCGGCGCTTCATAGCACACCGGAGGTGACTGTTCGGCATCAAGAATGTCGGCTTGCATCGGGAGCTGGAATTCCAAATCGGTCAGTGTAGCACTATCAGTCTCACTAAGGTGATCAATGGCGGAGACTGAAAAAGCAACTAACACCACTCTATCACCCGACCAATTCCTAGTGGCGTGAGTCAAACGTCGAGCGGTGAAGACGGCATGACTCCCATCCAAGCTGAGTTCGACTCCACTGCGTAGTTCGCCATCAACATCGCACCAAGCTTGGCCGCCTGGTCTCTCAACCCACACCTGTCCCTGATCGAAGTCAGACAGTGCACACACAGCATTGGGCAAAGAAGAATTATGCGCATCCACATGAGGTGTGGTTTGAACGTTGCGAAAGAATGCTAAGCTCGTGAACTTTAAGCTGGGCAGCTGCTGTCGCACAAAGCGCGCGGCCAACTTTGTCACATTCGGGAAGAGCAAGACATTACGTCGCAGCCCAACCTTGACTCTGCAATAGGCACCTGTCGAGAAGGAGACCCCTTGTGATGGGTCACCTCGGACGGAAGCCTCTGTGGGGAGTGATTGGAAGATCTCAAGTAAATCAGTGGGGGAAACAACACCAGCATTGTTCAGCAGGGTCAGAGCTCGATCCTCGACCGAACCCTTGAATTCGTGATCAAGACTTGCGCTACTGATCGACTCAATTTCATCGATGGCCTTGACCTCATCAGCCTGAAGATTGGTTTGAAGTGAAACGCGTGCAATCTTGGGAGCAGGAGCCTGGGCCCCTAGTCACTCGGTATTGCGCTTTGGGCAGTTGGGGTAGAAGTGCCCGGGCTGGTAACAAAAGCAGCAAACGTGAGCACCCCTGAAGCACTTGTTGCCTGTCAATTGCCTAGTGCATTTGCCCCTCTGAGCATCAAAGCAAATGGGCACTCCTTTCGGGGTGTTTGCGTGCCCGTCCTTTAGGTCCTCTGGCATGGTCACCTCGCGGCGTGACGGTTGCTTACCCTTACCAGAACCTTTGCCCCGACCTTTACCACGGCCATACGGAGTGGGTCTCTCAAAGGGAATCTTAGCGGGAGGAGGCGACGCGAGAGGAGCGAGCAAATGAGACACCTCGGTCAAATCGGCGCAACGCATCCACGCCTCGTCCAATGGACGACCGGTCTCCGTGACTTGCACTCCACTGCGACACTCATTAGCAGCGGTGACAAACAATTGCTTATCGGCTTGAAGCAGCTGCTGTATGCTGACTCGGGTGTATCCCGAAGGCACCTCACGATATCTGGAGTGCAACAGGCGCTCAGCCCATTTCTCATGTTCTTTGAAACCTAACAATCCGGCCTGTTCCATCGCGAGTCCTCGCCGAGTGAGGGCGAATTTCAGTAACAAGTCAGTGCTCAAGTCGGCCTCACCTCGAATGTCGGCGTTCTTGATGTGAACATTACCGCTATTGTCAACTGTGAGGGTACGATCCTCCTTGTCCCGGGAATTCCGAGTCTCATCGTCCTTGCTCATGCACCAACTCAGCGGAAGATATGTAAGGCGATTGTTTTCATACATTTGACAACACTTGTCCACTGACCTGTCACTCGGTTCATTAGGCCCGGCGATAGTCAAGCCTGGATACCGCACCACTTGACGAGCCAAACGATCTGCTCGGTCGGGAGCGGCAAGGCTCCTCGCTGGTGCATCGGTGGTGCGCTCAACCTGAGATTTAAGCTCGGCCGCGACCAAAGCAAAGGCCTCAGAGTGCAATCGGCGCAGCACCGAAAGCTCCCCCACGGTAGCATCCCTCTTCAACAAGTCCTTTATGGAAGTCACAAAAGGACCCTCATCACTCTGACCCGGAATGAAGCTGCTCACATACGCAAATTTGGCAAGAGTGTTGACGCCACCATCGACAAGCAGCTGAAGCACCTCAGCTTTCAAGCCGAGTTTCGCAGCCCGGGAGCTAAAATTGGCCTCACTCTCAGTAATACTCATGGTTCCAGCTTGAGCCGACCCGACTCTCGCGAACCCATGTGGTCCCCATCGTTGTTGATCACAACGATTTGCAAACAACTCTCTACCGACACTCACACATCGCAACGTCGCTCAAGAATTGTTTCACCTCCAACTCGTGTCGCGTCACCTTCAAAATCGCGATGCCACTGACATCCCATCACCGTGACACGCAGGGCCCATGGGCACACCGCACCGATGTGAAGTGTACAATCCTTGGCGCTGGCACGGTACACTGTTGCAACAACATGTGGACAAAAAGCACGGGGCCGACACGGCACACCGTGATCACGCCAGGACCGTCCCTTTCACATCATCAATGTTCTGTCGTGGCGGGGTCTCGCTGACACACCGTTGACCCGACATGTGATACGACTCGGGGCAAAATGCACACCGATGACAGTCTGACGCGGGGATAGCACACCGGTCATGACCTCGGTCGGGGCCGCAACGGCACACCGTCCTCAGTATCCCTCTGTGTCACGCTCGCCAAACACAAATCTCAGCTCTGATCCCCTCTAACCTGCTCTCCAACAGCAGGCTCGACACTGGCATCTGTTTTGACAGAGTTGAAACACCTGGCACACACAGGGTACAGAAACGATGGAACAGCTGCCACCTTCTCGTAGTTCTTCGTGCATGTCCTGCCGCAAGATAGAGAAGTTCCGCCCTCGTCGGCAATCAAGTGCAGCATGCGTGAAGACCGATTGCGAACCAAGTGCTCTGCCTTCAACTCGCGCTTAGGCACTTCCTCACACCAACCATCCACGACCCCGTCCAGCGCTCGCTCGAGCTCCTGACAATCGGTCTCGGCATCCTCTTCATCAAGAGACGCCTCTGAGGAAGCTTCGTAGTCGTAGCTGGCGTTGGGGTCGTCCTTCGTGGGGAAGTACCCGCTCCGGGTACTGTCCGGAACAAAAGTCCCTGACCTAATGGCCGCGAGGACTTTCTCGAGCACCCTGACCGATGCTGATACGGCATCGCGGCTGTATACTTGGGCGCTGCGGTCGCCCGGAGCCGTGTGATACCCCAACACTCTCTGATCATAGCTGTCGATGCCGAATCTGGCACACCAAGATAGACAAGTCGCTTTACATGAGTGCGTTCCAATAGGGGAACACTGAGCCTCAGAAAATCCGCACTTGCGGAGCACGTTTCTCAACCATCCAGCAGCGACCGAAGCACTCGGAGGGTGACTAGCCCAGTGTCCGGTGGTCAAAATCGCAGGCAGGACGGGCAGCCCCTCTCCAACAGGGACGTTCAATTCCTTTCTCAGCATGGACCACGCCTGGAACCAATCTTCGCCAGCGATACCCTTGCGTGGACACACCATCGGCAGCAGCTGAGTTTTCCTCTCAGTGGTGTAAGATGTCTTGCTGCGTGCGATGTCGGCCTGAAGGTAGCCTCCAAGCCCAGACGGGTCGACCTGCGGCTTGTCCTCGCTGACATTGTACATGTTCTGTGTATCAGAATACCTGGCCCTCATAAAAATCGAGAGCAAGAAGAATCCAGCTATGAACCGATCAATGCGATCCCCATCGGGGGAAACTACAAACCTCTCAAGTCGCTGTACCATCTCAGTCGACAACGGTGGGCGCTGGACCCTCTTCCGCTTTGTCAAGTAGCATGCCCTGGCCACACCACTCAATCTCATGCTAGCCATCGCCTCCTGAGCGCTCTCCGCTCCAAGAATGAAGAAACAAAAGGTCACCGCGCTCAGGAAGCTTTTGAGGAAAATCGGCGAGCATGTATGTTCGCACTCACAAGCAAACTCGTACATGTCATCCTCCTTGAATGGAAATGCCAAGACTGCATGCCTATCAGCCCATGCCACGTATCGTATGAGCGGATCAGCCCGACTGTGCAGAGTTCCAACTGCCTTGCCTGCGAACACATGTCGCAGCGACCTTGACACTTGGACCCCGACAGGTGCTAGTGACGTGACCTTCCGACCCACATCGAAAGACTGAGGGCTCCTGAGTACAAGAGCAGTCCACTTCCGAACGGCCGCCACCAGTCTCTTCTCAGTCTGGTTCTCCCAAGAAATATCATGACGTACACGAGAGAATCGATGTGCAAAAGAGACAGCCGGCTGTTTGGGAACCGGAACAGAAATGTTGCTGCTCACAGGAATGAGGGGTAGTGGCCCCCTTCCCAAAGGAACACTGAAATCAAGCAAGCTATTTCGAAATTCAGGTGTCTCCCAAGGCATCCTAAAAGCCGAGCCCTGAGAAGTTCGCAAACATGTGCTGAGATGAGCATCGTAAGCAGAGTCGCTGGCCGTCCTCTGCCTCTTTGCACTTTCTTCGGATGCCATCCTTCAAGTGCTGCAGGCCACCGCTCGCCCCTAAAACTCGGCCCAAGCACTAACGCAATGGTTTTGCCTCGGGCTGCGAATCAAGAGCAGGTTGGGCACAGAAGAAGCTAGCGCGGATTTGCCAGCTTGCGTGAAGAATTTGCAGGCGCTCAACAGAAGAAAGGCAGGCCCAAATCAAGCTGGCAAGATCTCTCAGCTGAATTGTCCTGGCCAAAGCGGCCTGCATGGCTGGGCCCACCTCTAGTCGAGACCCATCTCCCACTCTTGAGCAGCAATGTAACACGACGTGGACATTTCACATGCTCTTCAAAGAAATTTCTTCTCTCAAGAAATCACTGCTCGAAAATACATTGCTTAAAGTGGGAGAGGCAGCACACGGGTTAGGGCATTAAGGTTTTTGAGTTTTCTTCGCTCGCCGCCACGGCGGCTCGTCACGAACGCAAAAAGGTACTAGCTGTCGTCGCAGGCTAGACAGCAAAGGTACGTCGAGGCCGAGGCTTCCACTTGGGTGCCGCAGGCACCATCGGCAAAGTAGAAGCACCTGGATTCCAGGATGATGGTACCGGCAAATCAAAAACCGAAGTGGCCTCCACCATAGCAAAAGAACCATCACCTGACGAAAGTGTCAAAGCAGGTCTGGAATCGTCCTTACCCTCTTCTCGCTCCATAGGAGCATCCTGTAAAGCAACCTCATCCGAATGCCGCCTGTAACGTTTCACACGAAAGCGGCTATCTTCAGAAGCATCAGTCATGGTTCAGTCAAGCGAATCCAGAAAAGAATCTGAGTCGGTGCGTTCTGGACGACCTTCCAGAATTTGCAAACGAGCACTCAAAATATCGTTGTCTGTGTGCAAAGCAGGCAGTCGTTGCTGAAAAATATGATCCACCCTCTCGTGGACTTCACCCAAAGCTTCCAGAGTGTCTTCACGAAGTTGAACTAAAGCTGCAAAGAACTCTTCACGGATCGCTGCACTTTCGGTGCTCGCTCGCTTGTTGGCACCTTCAAAGAGGCTCCAAAGACTGCTGTCAAAGTAAGTGCGATACTCTTCCAGTTTGGCAAAGGAAGCTTGTCGTGAAGATTGAAGAGCGGAAAGTTGCTCTTCCAGTGCAGTGATCCTGTCGCTCAAAGTTGCCTCACACAAGGCAATATCAAACTGCCTGACAGGGCGGTCCAACCACTGTAAAGTTTGCTGAAGCTCTGCTGACTGCGGGGCAGGTTCAGCCTCCGAGTCCATCAAAGGACGCAAGGAAGCTAATGTTGTTCAAAACTACAAAAGTGACGCGTGCTAAAGTGAGAAATATGCATGAAAAGTAAAAGCCGTATGCTGCATGTTCAAAATTTTAAAGCATGGAGCGAAGCTTTAAGCTATGCTGAAGCACGCGTGTCTTGGGCCGAAATGTTGTGTTTGGAACATGGTAAAGTAAAACTTTCTTTCGGACGCAGCGAGAGAGAGTCTCACCAGGCGTGTCGCCAACACATATGCACTATTGACACATGCGGCACTTCAAGAGTGCGATCTACTGCATCGCATTGCCCGTCCCAGAGGACCAACGAGCAGCAATGCGAGCGCAAAACTACAGGTGAAGAAGCATACCGAGGTGACCTCAGGCACGCGCTGTACAGTACAACTACAGCCTGCCAGTGGTGGGGTGAAAAGGCAAAGCTAAACGAGGTGACCTCGCAAAGCTAGCAGTGAGGTGACCTCAACTTGCTACTGCCACAGGTAGTGCTTGGTAACACAGTAGGTAGGTGTTGCAAAACGTGTCTTCAACATCATGCTGCAGTTTAGGTGTTGATCATGAAGCCACAAATGATCCCCATGAACAGTGGCAGCCTGATCTCCATGAACAGTGGCAGTAAAGTAAAACACCCATGAGTAAACACATGAAACAAGTGGCATCGCTGGCTGCCGGCCCATGGCCCCCGCCGGGCAAACGGAACCGAAGACGCTCCAATTCGGCACAAATCCAGCCTCGGACTGCGCCGGTCAGCGGACGTGCCATCAAATCGCCCCCTCCGTCGCAGCGTCTAGGCAATGAAACTCCAAGCACCCTCTAGGGCGGGTCGTTCCGGCCCAACAATGCAGAAGCCCGGAGCGCCCATAAGGCCATAAAAGCCCCGCCCAGCCGGGCGGCTTCCCTTTCCAGCCCCAAAGGCATTCAGCCAGAGTGGGGAGGGCGCGCAGGTGGTCCAGTTCCTTCAGGTAAACACCTTACCACCAGCGCCATACCCATGCACAAGGGCCGGTCCAACCACGGCGGCCTCTTCCGGAAGGCGTTTGCTCATAAAGAGGCCGGGACCTGGCAGGCAACCAATCCTGCAGCGCATGCTGCTCAGCGAGTAGAGGGTAGAATTGGCGCATTGCTCATGGGCGCCTCGTGCCCACGCCAGTGCCCCTGGGAACTGGGAACGGCGCTAAAAGCGTGGCAAGAGGCTCTTGGGGGCAAGGGGCACAACAGGCGGCCGTATACCCACCCGCGTTGTCAGGGCGCCAATAGAATCAATAGAAGGCTTGGATTAAGAATCCCAGGTAAGCCCATGCAGCGGCAACATCGCCTGAGTGCCTAGCCTGAGCGCCCATGAGTGGCGTGCCTGCCAGCAGTTCCACCTGGCGCCAATCTGCCGACACAGTGCTGCGTGGTAACGTGGGAAGAAGGGCCAGCT